TGCTATATAAAACTATCTTTCATTCCATTTTATTTGGCCAAAAGTACCTATTTCTGTGGCTTAACTTGCTGCAACTGCTTTAGATAAAAAAAAAAAAAAACCTATAGACATTTGCATTTGGAGATAATCAGTGATTTAGCCAAACATTACTGTACTAATATTGTTTTACCAGGAAGCTGCAGCAGGGCATGACAAGATTGCCCAAAATGTCTGAACTCTAGTTCAGATACACGGCAAAGAGGAGTCTCCTATCCGTTTGATCGCCCATTAGAAACAAGAAGAAAGGAGCTTTGGCCGTGGTTGCAAGCAGGACTTTAACATCTCAGTACAGTATGGTTGAGTGCAGGACTCTTACACTGTGTAATGAAAACACAGCTCAACGTGGCATGGTACAGGAACACCTAAAGCGTGCTAGTGAAAAAGAAGGTATTAGTGTCTCTACAGCTAGTGTAATGGACAGAGATACAGGAGGAGCGGTGGTGATTTGTTTGTCTACTGTAGGAAAGAAGGTAATGTTTAACATCTACAGGAAAGAAGGACTGGCGATCCACTCTGGCAGGAAATACTCAAGATCTACCTGTTATGCTCATACAGGAGCTGCATGCCAATGAATAAGATGCAACCATGTCATATGGGAGAAACCGCAGATATAAGCCTTCTACTTCAAAAAATTTGGATCATCTCTGCAGGGGCAAAATGTAAGGATGGACATGTGAATACTTTGATGTCCGTATGTTTTTTTATGTTCTAGTCTTTCAGACAGTTACTCCCATATGATGTGAATGCAGCGCCGCCGTGTGAAGGAAGTTAAATCTACACAAACTACTATTTCAACTATTGGTTGACATCTGCACTAATGTACAGAGGTGATTGGACAGCAGCTACAGGAAGTAAAGAGGTGACTGGTCAGCGACTACAGGAAGAGAAGAGGTTGATAGGCTGTCCGACTGGAGGTAGGAGGCGGGGTTTGGGCCCAGGATTGTACTACCTGGATCAGGCATTGTTCCACATGTCTACTCATCTCCTCCTCGCTCCCAGCCAATGGGGCACTGCACAGCGGACATACCTGGCCCCCCTCCTCAGGCTTCCTCCTCTTCATCTTGCCTATACGGGCTGGAAACGGAGGGAAAAGAGAAAGACAGAGACAGACTAGTTTTAATGTCAGTTTTTCCATCATGTTTCCTTTAGACAATAATATCACTGGTTTCAAGGAACAGGAGAGTATCTAAAAAAGACCAGAGGACTATTGATGTCAGATCTTCCTTGATTGGATCATATTCATGTAATACAGCTCAACTCTTAGAAGCATATGGGAGAAGGCAGAGCTGGCTAAACTTGGCCCTTTCTGAAAAGTGTACAGAAAGAAATGACAAGAGCCGGACGTGACAACCCTTCCCGCACTCCACGCCATTCCTCTCCCTCTGTTTCTCCTCTCTTTCCTTCCCTGCCCTCCTGTCACAGCTCCCCCCCCCCCNNCACACACACACACACATTTAATTAGAAATTTAACAGAGCAGAACAGCCGTCATTGCGCCCCGAGTCTCTGTCGTTTTTTCTTAACTGCAAATGGCGCGCGGGGACATTAATTTTTAGCTGGCTGGGAAAGCAGAGGAGGCCAAGAGGGACTGTGGCAAGGGATGGAGGGAAAAGGAGGAGGAGGAGGACATAAGGCAATACGCCGTAACTGCAGGGGAAGAAGATGGAGCGAGTGAGGCTGGGAGGGTTAAAGAGAGGAACAGCCTCCTCCTCCTCACCAATTCTCCCCTGACGCTAATCGAGAGGAGCGTTGTTAAATAGAGGAGGGAAAGGGCTGCTAATTAGGTCCGGCAGGGATCTCTGCCCCCCCCCAGCTGTTATACCCCACATGAGAATGATTCCTGGTTCCACATGAGGGCAGAAAGAAAGTAATGGAGGGCGAAGTTTAAACTAAGTCTTCAATGGCTCTTGTCATGGGCTCTGACTGAAAAAGGCTCAGTTAGTGTGTTGCCTCAAGACTTCACACACTAAATATGTTGCAATACAGACAACAACCAATGTGGCAAGAGTCAACTGTTACAGATACAAATGTATTGATTATATTAGCATTTATTGGTTGTACACTGCTTCAGTCTCCCTTGATAAGAAAGGATGAGTATTTTCAATAAAAGTTGACAGTGGTGGCTGAAATAAGTCGACAATTCTGCCTATCAAGGCTCTAGAGCAGCAAAAATACAGCAACTGAAACGCTGGAAAACCCTGACTATGAGTGGACTGTGGTGTAACCAAAGGACTGCTCAAGCCAGTATTTGCTACTTAGAAAAGTTAGCCAGAAGTTCAGAAGTTTTCTCAGAGTTTAACCCCAGTTTATGTCTAATGTGAAATATTAGATTAAATTCAAGTGATCAAGGTAAGAATAGTTTTCAAAAGTGCCTCTTTTTTCTAATCCAAACAAAGACAGCCAGAAATGGCAAATGTTCATGCTCCATTTGTACAACGTGAACCAACATTTAATGTTTTAATGTAGTTGGTATGGTGGTGTAATGGTATATTTTCCAGGTGTTTCACAAAAGAGTCAAAAGAGAGGTCATTTCCAGCTGCATGGATTAGGAAACACAGATGCAACTTGGAAAACTGGTTTAAAATCTATGTTTGTGCAACAGCTGGGATATTTTGTATTTATATTAGTTTTACAATAGTCCCTGAGGATAGTGAAGATACCCTAAGAACAGTAAGAGCTGTCTGGGTTTTTTTTACACATCGCCATATGATAAGATGCTTTCGGCATATAAAAAACCAAACACAGTCCACATACTGAAAGCTACCAATGATTCTGTATTATCAGCACAATTGACTCTGCTCTTCTTCAGACTGATGGTTCAAAAACTTTCTGTCACATGACATCATCACTGAGGAATGATAGACCATCCTGATATATGCTCCATTAAATATAGAAAAACACACCTTTCAGAAATGACTTAACATTGATCATTAAGCACACTGTGGAAATGTGCTAGATAAATAAAGTTGACAGAGTCAAACTGTGTGACAAAACTATTTTGTCTCCTGTACCTTGACACTGTGATATCATAATGTTTCTCAGTCATTTGTGGTTATAATCATTTTTATAAGTTCATATTTAACTTCCTGCCACATATATAAAACATAAGCTTTTTATAAATCAATATATTTTAACTTTTTATTTCCTAATTCATTCTACCATATCTATAAAATGTTCAGACATTAAAGTAACTATCATCTTTTTTCCAAACATTCTAAGATCAAAAACAAGCCTGAGTACAATAATAAAAACTCTTAATGAGGACGTTTACATTGTATAACTTCGTTGGAGTCATATAATGTATATTAATAAGCAGTATTAAGCATCACTCAGGAGATGAAACGGAATGTGTACATACCATTCAATCTTGTTTGCCTGTTTGCTCGAACTCGTAAAAATGTCTGCAAGCAGAGGAGAAAGGAGAGGGGGAAAACATACATTAGACAATAAAGAAACACTATAATATGTTTACAAGTACAAACAGAACTTTTCAGAATGGGATTGCTTTGGATGCTGAGACTAGGGCACTGTAAACAAACCTACTTCTCTATTGTTTTCCACCTCCTCCATAACTGTCAGGGCTCACTCACAGCTCATTGTACAGCCGCCAAAACTCACTGCTGCAAACTGGCGACTGTGTGTCCACATACTGAACATCGCTGCGAACTAAAGCTTCTATCTATTATTTAATACGGATGGAAAAGGATTGAAAGTGCCGCCCGTATCGACAAATACTACTCATGTCCGACGCCATGTTGGCTTGTTTTGATCATGTGACGCGTTGGAGACGGAAGTAGGGAAACGTCACGTGTTGTTCCGGATGTCGACCGCTAGGGGGAAGCAACGGGTTTCATTAAACGGTCTCCTTTTAATCAATGGGTTTGGTGTTTTACATACAGACATAGTGGATGCACAACTATCTCACTCTACCTTACTGCTACTGTTTATACAGGCTGACACAAAAGAGAAGAATTAGAGGATTTTACTCAACAAAGTTGTGTCAAAGATATTAAGAAGCTTGACAATTTGGTGTTTGTGAACATCTCTTTTTACTCTTAAAGTGTAGTTTCTTGGTAGCTATTTGGCCTTTTCTGTGTGTGCAGCAAACCTAAATTCATATTATGCAACTGTCAGTGGTGGAAGAAGTACTTTTTACTACTCTACTCTTACCAAAGTAAAAGATACAACAATGTAAAATGACTCCATTACAAGTCGAGGCCTTTCATTTAAGTAAAATTACAGAGGTGAGTATCAAAAGAAAAAGTACTTATTATACAGAAAAAGGGCCCTTACATTACATTGACTGCTGATACTAATGGTAATACTAAAAATGTTTAGTCCAGTGGATCCAAAACTTGGGGTTCAAGAAAAATTATCAAATTATCGAATGTCACAAAGGGCCCATCTAGACAGTGTTTTTTGAGAACCACTGGTTTAATCTTAAATAATATATTGTATTTTGTACGTTTTTGATGTAAAATCTATCTGCAAAGTAGATTGTAGTAAAACTGACTTCCATCTGAACTGTAGTATAAAGTGTGTAAAAGTAGGCTACCTCAAATTGTACTTAAGTATAGTATGTGCAAAATCAGTTACCTTCCACCACTGGCAACTGTGACGTACAGTTAAATGATCATTTGTCTCAGTGAATGTGGAACATTTGGGGTCTTGGGTAGTTCAGGATGCCTGGGGTAAATTCCCTGTATCATTAAGAATAATGGTCTTATCATTAAAAGTATAGCATTGAGATATAAATTAAGTGAGGTCAGATTTCTTTGTCCTCTCCTCTTCTGTCTCTTGCAGAATGTGCACCTCGGGTCTACTGGGTCTATTCAAACCCAGATGCCTGTATGTCTTTAGCTATATGCTGACTAAAGCATCCCCTGTCGCAGTTATGGATGCCCTCTCTTTGACACGGCAACAGTGAGTAGGCGGCGGTTCAGTCCTCTCACCGTCGGACCATCGTCCATCAGCCAGAGCCGACAAGCAGTCTGGCCTTCTCCTTCTGTTCTGGCCCTCTATCTGTCTCCTCACTCCTTCCCTATCTCCCTTCCCTTCCCCTCCCCTCCCCGGCCCCACTTGAGTTATAGGCCCACTCGCCTCGCATCGCCACTACTACCGTATCATTATGATACACTCACTGAATGGCTGCGGATAGGTCAGGATTTTAGAGGAAGGGAAGAGGTAGAGAGGGAAAGAGCACTGAGACGGACTGACAGGCAGAGAGAAGGTGGCAAAGTCTGCCATTATGCTCCATTTTCATGGTGGTAAAAAGAGTCACCATTGACTTAATCATTTGTATAATATAAGGTGATTTCAGCAGTTTCACTTAATGAGAAAATCTACTTTATCGCTATAAGGTCTTTATGAGCTGTGTCATCCTGAACGTATGGATGTAACGTCTGCATGGACTTAATAGTTCTTATTTTATGGTGTGAGGGGGGAAACCCACTTAACCCAGAGATACATCATGGCCAGAAGAATTACCCGAACAAACTTTGATGAATTTAAGAGATAAAAGCAGTCAGGGTGGCTTTAAAAATATCAGAGATTTAAGGAGATTGGCCTGTTGGTCAACTTAACTGCTGAGAGGGTATAAAACCCACAATCTACCGTAATTCCCAGTTTAACTGTTACACATCTGTCATGATTAGGGAAAATCCCAATTTGATACAATACATTATAGAAGTCCTATGATTTGCTACATAGTTAATATGAACAAAAAATGTAAAAATATAACATCAGAGGAGGGTCTCATTGAAGTTTGGTCAACAACAGCAGCAACAACAGAAGGGGTGCTTTATAATTAACACAAATTAACCAGATTTGTGAATTTGTGATGACAGTTGTGTGACAGAAACAGAAAATATAACCTCAGCTTAAAACATTGAACATGCATGTCTTAAAACATCAATGTTTTCCACATTTGACACTAAAATGCACCCTTACTGTTGAAGTACATACTACATCTTTAGAGTTAAAATACGCAATCTACCTGGGAAACAACTCAACAACTAAAACAGTGTTTGTACTGTGAAGATCCCACTAGAGCCTGCGCTGTTATCATCCAGCACAGTATATAAAAAATGGGTTAATTTATAACACAATATATTTTTTCAATATATGAAATGTCAGTGCAAATCTGGCTATAGTATTTGTAGTAGTGTTTAGATTTACCATTGTACCATGGCCACTAAGAATTCTTGACTGATTGGCTGGGAGGTGATAATACCTGACAAGGTGTACATTATCCGATTTAAATGGATGATTGTAGTGCTTTTGGTCATTATTGAGCATACACCTCCTTGGTTATTACTGCTTATTTGTAATGTTATTTGACAGTATGCTTAACATACAGGATTCATTTCACTATAACTGAGAAGAAGTTAGAAGTATAGAGAAAGTGAGGTGGATACTACTCTGGAGAAGTGACCTAAGGGACAAACAGGACAATGGTGTCAATCTAGACTGACTGTTATTCAACCCGTGTGTGTGAGTGTGTGTATATGTGCGTGAATGTGACCTGGTATCTGTCGGAGTGGTGGATGTCTTCAGAGGACAGGGGCGAGACCACGGGAGACTCTCCCTCACGCTTGATGTGCACCGACAACAGCATTGACTAGAGAGAGAGAGAGAGAGAGAGAGAAGGAAATAAAATGTCTTCTATATGCAGATGATCTTGTTATATTATCACCTCTGGAGCAATGATTACAGCAGTACCTGTCCTTGCTTGACAGCTGCTGCATGGGAATAATCAATAAACATAGACGAGGCAAGAGTAATGCTGTTTCAAAAAATAAATAAATACATATTAGGAAAACAGATGCAACTTCACTGTTGGAGATATACCACCCCTGGACGCAGCCACACACAGCTTAGCTTGGCTTGACAATAAGGTAATTTGAATGCTTTAACATGTCCATAAGGTCCATACAAACTCAACATTTTTCTGTAGATGTGCTGGCTACTGAAATTTGGAAACTGTAGTTTGAAGTGGCAATCAAAGTCCAAATGATAGAAGAGTTTGAAATAGCAATTAAAATGGAGGCGCTAAAATGAGCCGAAGTTGGAGATCAAGCACTGAATGCAGCTAAAGTAATAGTTGAAATTTAGGAGCTGAAGGGAGTTGAAATGCTGTTCAAATGAATACATATCCAAAAAGAAAATAATTTCTAAAATGTAAAGTTTATTTCTGTATAAAAGATCACTTACACAGGAAAGAAAAATGGAGATGGGAAATCTTTACCCTTGGAGGAATCCAAGAGTGTTATTGCCACAGATGCTGAGAGCGACACGTCATTGATGATGACTGTAACCTGCCTGACTTTGTCTATAAAGTCCCTTCCACTGATTAGAGTTAATGTTTATGGGACGTTAAGAGGAGTTAGGGAAGAACGAGTGATGGAAAGGAGAGGAAGAAGGGAGAAGAGGAGGAGGAAGGGTAAACATCTGAAAAGGAGGAGCGTAACTGTCTGACATTACGGGACACTGCCTGTCCATAAATCTGTCTCACAACACTTACACATGCACACTCTCTCTTTCTCTCTCATAGACACACACATATAGAAGACAATATCCTCTTCTAACCCACTCTGTGACAAAGACAATCCAGGGAATTCCTCAAGTGAACAAGACGCAAGCAGATAATGATGTGAAAGAAAGAAGAAGGGAGGAAAAGAGGAGCAATATCACTTTTTTACAAGGCTTAGTCCTGACAGAGCTCTGGCTATGTGTGTGTGTGTGTGTGTGTGCTTGTATTTTCATGTGTGCCTGCTTTTCTTTTTTTTTTTTTTACAAGGCAGCTATGAAATATTTGTATTTACAGTCGTCTCCTATTAATCAAGTGGAAAGGGGCAGAGCAGAGGCTTAAGTGCTCGACAGCAGTAATCTAATAATAATATGTGAGAAATGACCAACCTCCAGTGCTGCCACAGTAAATTGGACATTATGCATGATGCTTTTATGCCTCTGTGTGAGTGTGTGAGTGTGTGCGTGCAGTTTTTTTTTTCCCCCTTTTTTACTCAGGTTTAAAAAGGTCAGGAATCATTTACCTGGGGGCGTTCTGGGAATATGCTTAAGTTTTATCATTAGAATATGACATTTAGCGGTATTCTACGAAGAAATTGTAAATGAAGATCTTCCATTGAAATTTTGGTCTTTTAAACCAACCAATTAAATCAACACAGGAAGAGATCAGCCTCGAAAAGGTTGCATTTAACGCTACATTTGGGTGAGCAAATGGATGTACACCTCGTGGTACAGACATTTTAACTCTAAATTTGACTGTAAAGACAAAATAAAGTGTTTAAATCTGTATTTTGTATGTGTAAATCAATAATAAACACATAAAATGAGGCAAAGAGAAATGTTGTGTCTAAATCTTTTCACATGCATGTGGCGTAGTATCTAACATGGGTGTGTGTGTGTGTGTCAAAGAGTGTGTGGCCCTGCAGATATCACATGTTTTCAGTCTAATCCAATCACCTTAGCTTGGCAAGGACTACACAAAGTGGACTGAACACCACATAAGGAGGTGCGTTGGGGTTAATCTCCGGTCTAATGTGGGTGGGTGGTGCATACCGGGGAGGAGACGATGACAACAGGCCCATGTGCTTCAGACTGGCCCTCTCCAATCTCCATGGCCTGCTGCTGAATACTAAACAACAGCGGTGAGATGCGCAGTCACGGCCGGAGAGGAAGGCCGGCGCTCACTCCTGCGCTGTCTGCCTTTCTCAAGTACGAGCCCACCCACAGTGTTGCGCTAAGCCTGGGTCAGCACCCAAAGGTGTGTGGGAATGAAATGGCCTCCCGTGTATTATTCTAGAGCTCTCAGGGTGCATTCATGTGCACCTTGGATGAACTTTTTCTTCAGGAGGGCATCTGACTTTCACATGTTCTTTAGTTAGAAATGAACAGACATGGAAATGATGAAGCCTGATTGCTTTAGGGATACTTTCAGGAAAATGACAACTGAATTTTGAAGTTTTCAAAATCAAGCAGGTTGGAAGTGACATGTAAAGTAATTTTTGAAACAAGACTCCATCTTTATGTTTATTTGCTCTGCCTTTTTCCTGTATTTGTTAAAATCCATCACATTACCAAGTTATCAAGTGCACTCATAGCCCCTTATTGTAGTTTCTCTGAAATGAGAGTTGGGCTTTCTGGTTTAGGATATAGAAAGGTCTAATTTTATATATTTATATAATTTTATTCTGGCAGCTGGTGATGTGTTCAGGAATGCCTACTTGATGGAATCATAAATCTGTCTTCCTACAATCTGACATTATCTGTCTTCTCTTTTTTATTTTCTTTCTTTTCTGTCTGTCTGCATCTCTGTCTCTCTAATTGGAACAATCGCAGTACAGTGCCTCTTGGCTCTGCTGCCTGCTGGACCACGGGAGACTGGTACTGTGTGTGTGTGTGTGTGTGTGTTTGTGTGTGAGATATAAGACAGAGGCCTACAGTACAGCTGATTTACCCTTAGTGCAGCAGAGAGGAACAGAGGCTTCAGAGTAACAGCTCTGAGTTGGACAGTAAAGAACTCGCTACGTATCACTGAAAATGTGTCATGTTTTTAAATCTAACTAGGTTTACTATGCATGCATCTCATTTTGTATTCAATCACTTAAAATCCTTTTCTCTTTTTGAACTATGTCGATGTGAATAAACAAAGAGCATTAAAACACTTACATGAGAAAATAAATAATGAGAGATGTATATATTCTAAACATAGATAACTTATTTAATTACAGGTTACAGAAATTGAGGTTCATCTTACCTTGGGGGTTCCAGGAGTGGCTGCTCCATCCTTGGGTGAGGGGTTCTTACTGCAGGAGAGAAAGAAGACAAAACAGAATTTAGTGAGTTTTTAATATTATATGTTGAATCTGGTCTGCTTGTTTTTTTTATGCATCTAGACATATTTCTGAGAGTTTGTTCAGTTATTATGTATTTTTGAAGGGCGTATGCAGTAACACCAGGAACTGCACAAATGGGTTACTAGTATACACCAATATACTTAATTTCCTCCATCTGTCTTCTATTCTCTTTTACCTTGCATCCATCTCTGGTTACTCTTCTTCATGGTAATTGAAAAATATGACTGAAAATAGAAGAACTACTCAGGATATTAGCTGGATATTCTTTACTGAGGCAGTCATTCTCCAGATTTGTCACCACACATACACACACCTTGTTTGCTGCAGTAACAAAAGCAGGAAGTAACTGATTTCGCTGTGATTTGATTTGTCAGTGGAGTCAGCCTGCGGTCACTTTGACTCTGAAATACATGGAGGACAATCGGCTGACTTGTAAACATTATAGGGATGATGGGACAGAGAGGGGGGCAAAGAGAATGAAATAAGATGTAAGACAGTAAGAAAGAAGGACATGTTCCAAGAGTTGTGTGTAAATGGATACATGAGTGATGATGAATGATGGAAATATATTAACTAGCCTCTATTCTGCCAATAAAACAATAAATTCATGTGTTACTTCATTCCTGATCCTTTTTCTGACACTTTTACTGTCTGATTCTTTCATTCATTTACCCCCCACCTCATTCTCAATTGATTTGTTGTTCCTTCATTTCTTTTTTTGTGCTTTCTCCTCTTCCTCTTTTCCCTCTTTTCTCTCCATCTCGCTCTGTCTTTCTCACCATCCTTCTTTCTTCCTGCCTTTCTTTCTCTCTCTGACTTTCTCTTGAACACACAGATACATTTCTCCGAGCTTCTCGAAGCGTTGCGACAAGCTTGACGTTGACAAAGCGAGACAGGGTTGTCATGTTTGCTTTGAGACCCTGTTAGCACTTCAGACCCCCTCGGACACACACACACAAACACACAAACACACACACAACACACACACACTGACAGACAGACGGAAGCAAACCATGGAAGGGAATGTGCCTCAAACTGAATTGAGCGCGACCTCTAATCTGACAGCATGCCTTGGTAGACAAGGGATTTCCTTTTTCAATGGATGGATGGGTGGATAATAAGAATAAGAAGCCTTATTTATATGTCACTTATCTGAGAGAAGAATTTACAAAGTGGTGAACAAGAAGGCATAAGAGCAAGACACGTAAAATATAAGACAGACATATAATGCATAGCTGCACAGTGTTAGGATGGAATGTATGATAAGATAGAGAGATGGAAGTACTGTGAATGTATTTTTTCCTTATACACATTCTGTAATGTGGAGTGTAGTTCATGTCATGTTTGATATTAATTCCGGCCAGATCTTCTCCTGCTTCTAATGTAAGTGATGGGCACAAAATCCATAGTCCTCATTCTATGCAAAAGATATTCCAAAATATTAGCTAATATAAAGCAGTCTGAATTAGACCGATCATGTGAAATGATTACAGCAAGCAAAAAGTGTTTCAGTGACTGTTGTGAACCTATCTTTAATGTCTTAGCTTTAGTTAAAGCCTATGTTACAAATTGGAGATGTAGAGTCAGATGTCTACCAGACAAGGAGAGGCTGATGAAAAGATGCTGGTTGCATCATGGTAAATGTAATGTTTTTAAAAGGATTTATGGGCCTCTGTTGAATCAATGTTTTTTTCTTTTGATCAGTCTCTCATTGACCATTCAGCTTTATGGAAGTGCAATATTAAATTGTTGGAGTACCTCTTTAAAGGCCCAACAGTTTGGAGCTTGTTTAGCTTCTGTAATGTTACATATTTCTGCCAACTAAAAACCAAACACGAAGCTTCTACTGTGATATTGGTCGGCTAGCAGCTAGCCCACCCCAATCTAACAGTCAGGAGTGGTTTTATATGACGGGTGGGTTAATTAGTCGCCATCATCATTTTAGTGTTTTACAGGAAAAGAGCAGGATGTTGATGTGTAAATACTCCGACATGATTGTTTGGCATATACCAAGAGATAAATAAACAGTTTTTTTTATATTATTTATCTGTGTCTGTAACCAAAACCTTTGACCATAAATCATAAAAAATATCAAATGACTGGATATTAGGTTAGTGAGCTCTTGGAGCTAATATTGCTTATTAGTTTTCATTATTCTTTTATTTTCATTATTCATTATTTCCTCATTTGATGTGACTGATTCCTTTATGATCTGAGAGGAGTAGATAGTGCTAGTGAAAGTGTGCATGTGTATCAGTGTACAATATACACAGAACTGTATATATTAAATGTCTTAGTGCATGGTGTACAGGTAAAACGTGTCATTACTGCGTCTGTGCTGTGTGTGTGTGTGTGCTTGCATCTGTATATTGTCTTGCTACTGTGTGCGTGAAAGCTGAGCAGTGGGCCTCACCTCCACCAACAAAGAGAATAAACATGGGTGACACAGTCAAGCTGCTGTGTAATGCAGGGGAATCTGCCAACACCGCCCCTCACCACCACCACCTCTCTTTTCTATCTCTGTCTCTGTCATCTCTCTCTCCTTCTCCCTCTATCTCTCTTTTATTCATTACCTGGAACCTCTGCAGAGGCATCAACAATAACAGCCACCTCTACCTGCTTGTTGACAGTGTCAAACAGCGACAAGAGAAGGAGGGAGAGGGGGAGAGAGGACAGCAGTTGCATGCCTGCCACGATGGGAGAAAATTGCCACAGTGACAGAGGGGGTGATGGAGAGATGAAAGGGAGTGAAAAAAAGGGGGAAACACAGAGAAGAGGTAGAAGCAGATGAAATGTGAGGTGAGAGAGAGAGAGAGAGAGAGATGTGGCGGGGAACATAAAGAGAGAGATCGAGCGAGGGAAAGATGAAAGAAGACAGAAAATGAGAGAAAGAAAGAAGAGGGAGTGATGGGAGAGTTGGTGTGTCGCCGCCTCTTCTCGCAGCTTCACACGTCTGTTTGCCCGGTTCTATGAATTTTTGATGGCGAGGGTTATGGGGCTGGAAATTCCAGCTGCCTGCCATGTCAGAGCAAGGAGAAGAGTGTGGAAATGAGCGGCACGGCAAAGCGAAACAAACACACAGACAGACAGGAGGAAAAGGAAGGACGGGAGCGATGAAAGAAGAGACACAAAGCAATTTAAATTGTGTTGTGGTAATGAGGCATGTGTGTGAACCGGGGGAGGCAGGTGAGGGCATTGTGGGTACTTTCAAAGTCTTGTTTCAAGCACACACTGTCCCACCACGTCATACATCTCTGAACTTGCTGAACCTGAAGGAGGGGCAAGAACCTGAGAGATCAGAAACAGGAAGTAGTCGTAGCTACAAGGCATCAGGTGGTGTACCTTTTTTCTTTTTTGTGAGATAGAGAGATGGAAGTACAATGCTGTATTAACCCTCTTAGATATTGATAGGGGAATGGGGTAAATCTCACACATGCCACACGTGACCACACAGCCTCTGATTGGTTGACAGACTCAAGCCAAGGCATCATGGGAGAAAAAATTATGAATAATCACAGAAGACATTCAGCGTTGTTTGGTAAACTGTAATTACTGTAGTAGCAATGTAAGAAAGTAATGAATTTACAGGAAGTATAGGTAATTATAATAATTAAAGAATTGTAATATAATTACAGGTTGGTAAATCATTTTTCAAAATAAAAGTAAAAGCTTACATTTATTATAAAATATTCCTACTATGTGCTTATCTCCTCCTGTGTGAGTTTAAAGAGACACTCCAGTGATTTAGTACTACACTTCCATAAAATTGGGAGACTTTTGAAAAATCTATCTTATCTCAAAACTTCTAACCTCATATCCTCTTAGTTCCCTATCTTAAAAGCTATTAAGCTATTAAGAAAGTTAAACTATTTCTGGATGCAGAGCTCCAGAACTCCTGTAGAGTGAAAATACTTTGCAGTGAGGAATTATCATAACCTTTATTTGAGATGTTAATATGATTCTTATTGTGATTCCAGAAAATCCTTTGAATAAGATGAAGGATCTTTACATTTTCAATCACTGCTTTTTGTCTGATGTTGTAATCTGCAGACCCAGTTATACATTGTTGTTGTAGCATCCCTCCTTCCAAACATGTGAAATAACTGATCTCTCAGGCTCTCTATAACTGAGAGCCTGCCAGCCACCTATTATGCTAACAATGCTTTTTAAATTACTGCCACAAGAAAAATATATATAACTAATATTCAGGGGGAAGTAAAAAAAAGTTCTAAAACATCTGGCAAGTCAAATTGTATTTATATAGCCCATATTTAAAAATCACTACACCCTCTGGCCCTCAGATACTGTGCTTAGTCTGGGCCAGTCTCCTGTGTCAGCACTGGTTTGAACTGGGCTGATCAGTCATTTGGAAGCAGTTCCATTCAGTAAAAGTGCCCACCCTCCCCAAACCTTGTTAAATCTGCATCAATCTTACACAAGCAGAGACAGACTGAGTTTGACTGACAGAGCCTCTGCCCCCTCCCACCTTCGCTCCCTAGCAGAGAGAGAGAGAGAGAGAGAGATCTTTTTTAGTGGGAGTTGGATGAGGTGGAATAGAGGGATGGTGCTAACCTCCAAATACTGATTGCTTTTTGCCTTTTTGTGTCGTCTGCAAGAGAAGTGGGAGCTTACTCTTATGGAGGTGAATTGATTATGGAGGAGGAGGAGGAGGAGGAGGAGGAAGAGGAGTAGGGGTATGAAGAAGAGGGGGGTGATGGGGTATGTAGATTACTTTGGCCCCACAAGCCACCTGACGTGTACAGGGCATGATAGATTTCCATTTGCTCAACTGTGTGTGTGTACGTGTGTGTGCGTGTTGTGTGTGTGTGTGTGTGTGAGTGTGCGCGTGTTGTGTGTGATTTCCATGTTCTTACATGAGAAGCTGTGGCCCATGAACAAGCGGCAGAGCTCACAGTCACAAGAGAGGACAGGTTGGCACACACACAAACACACAGGCAGCGAGAACAGCAAAGACAGAAGACAAATAAAACAAATAGAAACACACAGAATAACTGAATATAGGATATAGAGGAGACCAGGCAGATATAGGACACACACACCTTCGTTTCCATACCCACAGCTCTTTCGTTCAGCAAGCGCTGGTTGTCATTAAAGGCAGATTTACTACAAATTGGACCAAATTCCCACTGTCACTTTCAATGATGGCTGCTACCATGCAGAGAGCCGGGGAGCGGGAGAGACAGAGTGTGTGTGTGTGTGTGTGTGTGTGTGTGAGATATAGAATGAGGTTGGTTTTGTGATGTAACACACACATACACATTCTGCTTTCATTTTATGTCCTGCTTCCATTGCCACGGACACACATACGAAGCCGCACTGAGACATTTTGTGTATTTGTGTGTGTGTAAAGAAACATATTTCCATCAATATACATTAAAAAAAGTTAGCCCTCGCATCCTTCTTTTCTCCCTCCTCTCCTGTCCCCCTTTTTGTTTCTCGTGGTGTGTGTATGTGTAGGATGGGTTAATGTCGAGCAGCTAAATCAGCCAGCCGTGAGGTTAGCCACCATCCCATCTCACCCGGGGATGATGCTATTTCCTTAAATAACCGTGTGTGTGTATGTGTGAGAGTGTGCAATGGGATTTGAGCTTAGGGAAGGGCAGACTTCTAACCTTTATTAATTATTGAAACGCACACACACACACATACACACACACACACACACACACACACACCTCACCATATCAGACAATGATGGATGACCCTCACTCAGCTGTATGTATTCTATTTTCTTCTATTCTCTATCTCTAGATCCACTTTCCCAGAGCTTTCATCTCCTGGCCTTCGTCACGGGATGGTGTGCACTCGGGTGTCTTGCATAATTGTTGAAATTTCAGGTAACAACTAAACCGCCTCCATGACTCTAGACAAGAAAAAGCTGATTTTTTTTTTTTTTTATACTATTCTTCGCCTCACTTAGTCCAAGTTTAGATGTCCGTCTCTGGCTCTGACTTCTCATCCCACCGGCTTCTTCATCTTATCACCAATCCTCTCCCAATTTCCATTCCCATTTGTTTTTGAGGTAAGGAATCATTCTGCCCACAGGCTACATCTCTCTCCATTACTTACTCAAACTTTTTCTTGTCTTGCTGTCTCTACATACGTCCTTTCTTCCTCACAAAGCCAGGAAGAAATTACACACCTATTCCCCCCAAGGACAATGGGTTTATACTGGGTCACTGCTTTGGTCTGATGTTAAGCTTGCAGCTTCTAGAACCACAGTAAAATCAGTGAATGAAGAAATGACAAGACTGGTTTAGATAACGTGGAAAACATGGATAAGTAGAAAAAGAGAGAAGGGAGGACTACAGAGGACATGAGTAAGGGTGGATAACGGTATAACAAAGAAAAAGTAGGGGATAGCAGGGAGAAAGAAGGATGGAAGGATGGGGAAACAAGAAGGAAGAAGAGGAGAGGAGAAATGAGGAGGACTGGTACAGTATATGGACGTGGACAGATGGGAGGAGGGGTACAGGAGGTGTAAACGGGGGTAAATGAAGTATGATTTCCACGTGGGGTGACGCTATCTGTCGCCCTGTTCCTCCGGGTTAATGGGGACTATCATAAAGCTGGGCCGCTTAGGTGGACACCGGGTCATACACAAACACAGCCTCACACAGGCCACACACTGTGTACACAAACACACACACGTACACACAGCCAGACGTGCGGTCAAGGTGAAATATGGATCCTAATGGTTGTGTCCCATCGTTAAAAGGGCTTGGAGTTGATTTATCCACCGTAAAACAGCTCGTGCAACTGCCACAGGGAGAGAAAGGGGGCGGCAGTGAACTCGAGGTCACAGGTTTGAATCCTAATCCCTGTAGGAAACACTTAGCGTTACGTAGACGGCATGCCTCTGCCTTTTATGCAGATTTATGGCACCAAAATCTCCGCACAGGAAGAATAGCAGTCAGTGAGCCTGACATAAAAGCTGAGTTAAAGCTCAGCCTTCACCCTGTGCCAACAAAATATTTATCTTTATGAGCCAGTAAAGCATTTGTCTAAAAAATGTTGTTTACCTTCCCTTTATTTATAATTAGTAACTAGATAATGTCACTGACTCAAGCTAATTAATGTTGACATACTGTATGTTTAATTAACTTATTAGACCTTTTTACATTCAGCCTTTGGGAATATTAAAGAAATACCTAAATGTACATTTTGAGAAAATGTTCTGCCTTACAGTTGAGAGTATTGGTATCAGTTTGATTTTTACATCCATGATAAAGACAAGGGGAAAGAGAGCTAGTTTCTATCAAAAGTTAAAAAAATATAATATATGTTGCCCCGACATATATATAAATATATAACCAATATATTCAAGAGTCAGCTGGGTTTTGTTTTGTATTTGTATTTGCGCTGATAACGGCCTGAATGGCTCAAAATGACTCGGATTTCAACAATTCTAAACCAGTAAGATCCCCGGACTGAAGAGCACCCAAGGGACAACGCTTTTCACACCCGAGCGGCAATCCATGCAGACTGTTTAAGGCCTACCTGAGACATATGGTAGCGAGCCTCTCTATCTCCGTCTCCATGTGTTCCTGGAGCTCTCCGGGCCTGAGCAGCACCTGGCAGATGGGGCAGATTGGAGCCTGGCTGTCATACAGGGACATCTTCTTTTTACCTGGAGACAAGATAGGAGGCAAGACAGAGGGAGGAACATCAGTATGTGTAAAAGACAAGCAAGAACCAGGCACTAAAACAATTCTTATATTGAGATACATTCTGCCAGTAGTGCCTCACAAATAGTCAGTAACCCATATAACAAATTTATAACAGTACCTGAGTCTAAATTGTTTCACTAAGGCTACGTTCACACTGCAAGCATTAGCGCTCAATTCTGATTTATTGCTCACATCTGATTTCTTTGCTTTGTTTGGCTGTTCACATTATTTTTTTTTTATGTGGCGCCTATCAGATTCCAGTGTGAACAGATCACAGTTGTGAAGTGAACCGCATGATGAATCTAGAGTGATGTAAAAGTCACATGAACTCTGATCCGCCCTGTATGTGATGTGGAGCACATATGAAAGTGGCCCAAACAGAATTGAAAAGATCAGATTCCATTTGATTTGCATGTCATTAAAAAAACAAACAAATATGAGCAAAACAAAATCAGATTTGGGCCACTNNGAAAATCAAATGTATCCACCTGTCTGTATTAGAAGTTGACTGCAGTTCAGCAAGGATACTGAAGTCAACTTCAGCATTGTGTATTCTTGCTAGCACCAAGGCTTGAGCCTTGGTTTTACTCTCCAAAATCACACACACATTAAGTGCATGTGCATTATAATTCTGCTTTACGCACACAGGCAAAAAGGGGAATAGAGTGCTGTACAGTCTCCATTGTGTCCTCTGAGGTCAAAGCAGATTTAAAGAAGTGTCAGCCATGGATGAGATAATGCTGTATAGAGTCTGCCAACACTACCTCACTTCATTGTCCTTGATCAGCAGGGCACAGGGTGGGGCCCACCTGTTTGTGTGTCTGCGTTAGTGTGTGTCTCATTGTGTTTCTGGGGGTATGTGTGGACCGTGTGTGTATTTTCTGCATGTTGCACTCCTTTGTGTTTACGTGTGTGTAAGTATAGTAGTATACATCCTACTTTTTCAAGTTTACCTTTGAGTCTGCCTGAGTTGGCTAAAAATAACATCTATTGAAAGTGTCTCAGTGCTTAATGTTGGAGGACACTTCCTGATTTCCTGTATTTAGCCAATCAAATGGGCTTTTTTTAGTCCGGGAACAATAGGCCCCGCCTTAGCCAGGATATCCCGTTTAGACTGCTTGTCACCACGGTAACAAGAGGAACAGGTAGGGGGACTCCCAATCTGTCTTGTCTTTGGTGTTTCTCTCTCTCACACACACACACACACACACACACACACACATATATACATACACATGCACACGCGGCCCTCTGGGGACACGAATCCTTGCTCACATATTGGTCTGTCAGAACAGTTTCCTGCAAGAGAACTCATCAAGAGACAACTAGTGGGGAACACACACGCCCACATACACACACATCACCTACCCCCCCTCTTCCTCTTGCAGAGCGTGTGTGTGCATACTGGGCTCCCATTCTCTTCAACCGCTACTTAACAGAGCCACAGTACTGGACACGTTAAGTGACTTTGAAAAATAGGTAATCGATTACTCTCTGTCTCGCTCCCTGCCTCTCTTTCTCTACCTCTTTTTTTCCCCCACACCTATCCCTCTCACGCACTCTCTCTTCAGCCTCATCCATTTCTAATTTTCTGCTCCCTACCATCCATTTATTTGTTTCATTTCTCTCTCCTCCTCTCTTCTATCTCTCATCTCCTATTTGATTATTTCATTGTTTGCCTCCCTTTTTCTTCTCTCTCTCCCTTTCCTCTTCCCCTCTTTCCTGTAGCCCCATCACTTTCTCTTTTCTTTCCTTCTCTTGTTCTCTGCCTTATTGTCTACCTTCAGTATATTTCCCTTTCTCTCCTTGTTTCTCCATCTCTCTTTCTCTACCTCCCCCCCACTCCCTCCCCTTTATTGCTTTGACAAGATAATTTGAGTCATGCTGAAGCCGTCGCCGTCCGCCACAGCAAACAAAGAAAGATCCAATCCCTGTCTGCAGCTGATGGGGCTCTTTCTATTCCGCAGACAAACACACACACCTGGAGGACATGGACGCACACACACACACACACACACACAGGCACACACACAAACATATGCCTCCGCTTGATTATTTCTAGGCTTTTGGAATGTCAAAAAATTTACTTTTTTTAAGTAAATGCTTATTTTGCACAGTGTGAGTTTACGTTTTAGCATTTAAATGTGCAGCGATTTTCTTTTGAATTGTGGGATTTTCTGTATGGATGTAGCTTTTATTTGCATTATTTTAAAAAAGAAAGTGATGAAAAGGAAATGTAAATGCACGAGTCTGACAACAGAGTGGCAACAATCAACAAAAGGAAAGACTAAAGTGGAGGATTTGAATTGAATCGATTTGAATTCAGCTGTCTCACAATAAGGGTCAAAACCAAGCTGTTAACCGCAAACACGTAGGCGACTACACACACTCAAATTTAACTTGCCCCGATGTGACCAAACAAGTGGAAATTCAACAGCCAGGCATGTGATAGAAAAGAATAGAATAGAATGTTATTGTCACCGTCCGGGAAATTGTAAAATACAGACCAAAATATGATAACAAAACCCCAACAATATGGAACACAGTGAATTAGTAAAATATAAATTACATAAAACATCAAATAAAATGTGGATGTTATTTATATACAACCTAAATGTCAGTTATGTGAAAACCGTTAAGATGTCAATCAACAAAGTGATCGAAATGCTGTATTTTGAAAAAAAAAATGTCACTTAATCAAAAGACTTTTCTCTTTCTTTCCTGTTCTCTCTTTTCTTCTTCACAGGTTTTTCCAACTTGTTTGCTGTCACTGTCTCTCACCCTTTTTTTTTGTCATTTTCAGCCCTCATGTTTCTTTCCTTTTCTCCCTCTATATTTCCCACTCTCCGTCAAATGCTCCCTGAGGGAAGTGAGTGATGGGGAGAGGCGGCCGGACAGATAAATCCAGGGGAGGAGAAGAAGAAGAGGAGCAGAGGAGAAAGGGGGGAGAAGGGTGTGTGTGTGTGGGGGGTGAAGGGGGGTGTCAATGTGATGTGATGTCGCACACCAGGCTTGTCAGCACCTTAAAGATGATTAATGTCGGGGCAACACACACACACACACACACACACCTACATGCTTTCCACATGTCCTGCTTTGGACCTCACAGCTCAAACACACACACACACACCCTGCAGCGCAACAAGGGTGCGTTTAATCTTGGGGAGCGGAGGGAAGGTATCCCAGAGGAGGGAGAGGAGGGGAGAGGAGGGCGAAGGAAAGGAGAGGGTTGGACAATAACAAGGAAATAGGCCTGACAGGACTTTTTAGTGCTGAGATTCTTCAGTGAAATGCCGGCTGGCGGAGCGAACGAGGGATGGATGGATGGATGGGTGCACGGATGGAGGAGAGGAGAGAGGAGGTGCGCATCTCTCTGACAGCCATGATGGAGTGTGGGCTTGATCCCTCCCTAATGTGCCAAGATGGATCGTCTCATCTCTCTTTCTCTCCGACTTTCTTCCCCTTCTCTCTCAATCCCTTCATCTGTCTCTCTACCTCACCCCCCTCTGTCTCCCATTTTCCTGATTTCACCCTTTTGTTCCTCTTTCCAGGTATCTCTTTTTTTCTCTCTTTTGTCAACCCGACCACCTCTCTATCACTCTCTCTTCTTTCTCTATCGTCCGACCTTTTCATCTCTGACACTTGATCCACTTAATGGCTCTCGCTGGTATTTGTTCACGTCACAAAACAGTATGTCACCCAACTGGCAGGAAGCATATCCACTGACTTTTTTGTATCTTCAGTCTGATTTATTTACTAGCGGCCACAGTACTGACGTAAACACTTTGGCTTGTCCAACTCAACCCAGAGACTCCCTAATCCCTGTTTAAGCTGTGTGACTTTGTGAGAATGCTGAAAACATCCAATAAAATGTAAGAAATTACACAGTGGCAAATCAAATCTATATGACGCGTCCTTCTGTGTTGTGATTCTGTCTAAACAACTGGCAGGCATTTTTATACAAAGTGTAAACCACTAAGGAGCCAGTAAATATGAAGTGCTATGAGGCCATACTTTCGTTTTATATTTGCACAACTGCTGACGAGTGTTCATTATTATTATCATGACTCATTTATTTGTATTTTGTGTGTCACACTTTCCTTTTCATTGTAACTATCTAATTGTATATTTAATTTCTCTGTCAAGAACTTTAATTAATATGCTGTTTTAAAGTATTTCTGTTCGAAACATATCAGTTCAAGATCAATTATTAAGCTGATACAACTAAATGTGAGTATGTTTGAATAATTATTCAAAACATTACAACCCTTATATAACCCATACTTCACACGAAATATGTTCTTCATTGGACTTTTATGTCCCTATATGTTTTAAATAATGAGTCACACACACACACACACACACACACCGGAATGAGACAGGTAATTATAGACACCAGATGGTGAGGCGGAGAGCATTAGATCATACGGAAGAGTGGAGAGCAAAGAGGAGAAACCTCCCTTCTTTTTTCCATCCCTTCTTTCTTTGCAATCGTATTGTTTCACTTTTGCCCTTGCTTTAATATTCTTCCTCTCCTTTCTTTACATCCTGACTTTCTCCATCTTTCGGTCCTTATGCTCCTTTTTTCTTCTTTCCTTTCTCCCATCCAAGTTTTCCCTCCTATTTTTGGTCCTCTTTTCTTCTCATACATGTTTTTCTGATCTTCCTTCTGTCCTTGTGCTCCAAAACTATGTATGACTACTATATGATATTTAAAGGTGCAGTGTATAAGAACAAGTCTGTGTTTGGTTTATCCCTTCTGGGCTACCGTAGAAACATGGTGGTTAAATATGGCGGACTCCATGGAAGTCAAACCTCTCCGATTCTTATTTTCAGGTGATTATATAGTAATGAAACCACAGTTATGCAGAACATTTTCTATTTCTGCCAATGGAGCCTCCTAAATATTACACACTGGACCTCTAAACAATTCTAGTGTCAGTAGTTCTTCAGC